TGCGACAGAATCTGGGGTAAACTGGCTGGTCAGAACCACCGCTATAATAAAGGTGTGTATGGTGGCAATTGCGACAGAAACACAAACAAACCTTGTTTGGACCTCTTAGCCACTTGATCGCCATTGCCCTTGCTCTTGCTCTTACGCTTATGGTGCGGGTCACCTAGGTGCCGCTTATCATAGAGGGGACTTGTGTCAGCACTGGCCCTGGGTCGGCCCAGGGCGATGTACTGATGTCGAGATCCCAGCCGGGACGCACGCTCGAATAACCCGGTCTAGAGTCCCGTGTGGTTCACGAGGCAGATATGTTCTAAAGACTGTACCAACGAGTGAGTGCCGCTGTGCGTAGTCGATACGGGAGGCGGAGTAAAGGTCCCAAAGACGGAGTGGTAACAACCGAGACACCAGACGCGCGGAGGTGTCGAGGTGAAGAGATGAAGGATATATGGAAGAGCCAGGGCGGGAGTGAGAAGACACTTCATTGTTGCCAGGTCAAAGCAGAGTGTTATATCCGAGCGGGGATATAGGAGTCTAGCCGACCAGTCGGACAGAACTCTGGTAGAGTATCGACCGGAGAGGGGTCGTGACCGGTGGTGACCGGAGGACTAGATATCGCAACGCCACAGAGGGGTAGGGCGAGCGACACTATCCGTTGATCCCAGGAGAGGACCGGATGGGGGGACAAGACGACCGGTGGAGACCGGTGACTCGGATTGCTGCACAGGGAAGGTGAAGCAACGTTTATTAACAAACTGAAGAACAAGGTTGTAGAGTACGAGATTATATAGTAGTGAAGCTTATTGTATAATATAAGGGGAAAGATAAAGCGTCCATGTGGATGTAACAATAGGGACAAGAACCCATATGGGGTTAGAAGTTCAAACACAATAGTAGAGAAACTTGAACAATAAGAAAGAAGACCTAGCACCACATGGCTGAGGGCCAGCTGGTGCTATGGTGCGACTATGGCGCCATACGATGTCCACGAGGTACCACCACGCCACCGGTACCGGTCGTGACCGGCACCGGTCGCTGACCGGTGCTACCGGTCGTGGTCTTGAGTTGTCGAGGCGCATTTCTGAAGGTTGGTTGTGCATGGATATAACACAGAGCTGGTATTAGACAAGGTAGAATCTACTGTACATGTAGATTCTACTGGGTTTTTATACTACTTGCTAGCTAAGAGTACGATCGAATTAGTTACTGCAGTAATTACCCATCTGTCAATCGGCAGGGGTAATTAAGCATTTAGGCAGTCAGGGTGCTGGTTGCCTGGCTTGGAAGCGTAAAGGAGTGTGTTTGGGATATCTGTCCCCTTAGTCGTGATAGGGTGTGTCTCCGGGTTATTCCAGGAACAACCCGGTTTGTCTTCTGTTGTTCGTCCGTTCAGTGGATTACTCCGGGGTTTCGTCCGTCTCTGGTGATTGATTGAGGTCGGGGGTTCATGGGTAAAGTGAATGAAAGGGTTTGGAAAAACCCGAATCATGACAACTTGCTCGGAGTTGGAATCCAATTTGTCCGGAGGGATCATGGAGTGAACACTTTTGAGATACTTGGCAGAGTTAATATTTGGTTGGGCCAAGGATATGGGACTTACATCGACCTTGGAAATGTAATCTCCATCAACGTCCCTTTAGCTAGACCCCTAGTTTGGGTATTGGTGTCATTTCCCAAAGCCAAAACTTGTTCATTTCTGCCAGCATAGTACATGTACAGCCCTGCAGGTACGAATCAGAATCAAACACCTGTTCACGCATAATAAGAAAATACTTCAAACAGTCAGTGTCGCAGCCTCAAGGGGGATGCAGTAATTATTTTTGAATGCAAGTTCACAAAATTTACTATTCACATTAGAATGACACTCAATAGGACAAAGGGATGAACACACGCAGGCAATGAAATGGCCATCGGTCTTGGTCCACCTCAGATTTACTTGCTCAAGGATGCTGTTGAGAACAACTGAATGACAATTTATTAGTAATGAAACAAGAGGGGAGGAAAACTGATTCTGGTTGCCGTATGTGTTGTCTATTTTGCTATCGACACAGACCTTCAAATTTTTGAATAAGCAGAAGCAGAAACAGAGGTAAAGAAAGAGACTTGGTAGATTATTGTCCACCTGGAAGCCTTGGTGGCACCACAAATCTTGGTCAACTCTTGTGCTGATGTGGTAGGTCTGACTTTGTGGTTGGTGACGACGAGGGGCTTGGTTCTGGCGTTAAACATTCCCTGGGCACAGTCAGCACATTGAATACACTGCTGCTCTGCCTTAGGATCAGTTAACCCTTCCTCTCATGCAGCTGTAATAAACCAATTCAGACAAAGAGAAGGAAAGCAATAGAGCAGAGATACCGACCTTGAAGTTTGCAGCTGCCACTGCCACAGGGGTCTGCTACATACATGTGTACCAGAGACACCACATTTCAAGCAAGATTGATAGGCCTGCCAGGTATTAGAACTGAGATGTTTAAAGAGTTTGGAGGGTACCTCAATCTTGGCCCTGTTGACCTCAGACAAATCGGCCTGGGCGAGCTTCTGACATTTGAGACAGAGGACACAAGCTGAGTTCGAGTACAGATAAACACTCTGACATCTGTTTTGGTCATTGTCAAATCCACTGCAGGGGACAAGATTCTGGGGAAGGGGAATGGACATGTTATATTCGAGCGGGGGGATATAGGGCTCTACAACTAATAGCTTCCGACAGCTGAGCTCTGCACTATAGCGGAGGTGGAGCGGAGGTAGTGGAGGCAGAGATGACGCAACACCACAGGGAGTTAAGGGTGAGCGATCCTATCCAGGTTCGGAGGGAGGATGTGTGAAGGGGGAATGGGTCCGCAAGTGGAGAAGGGACAGATGAAGGAGGGATGAGTCCGCAGGCAGATACTCAGATTGTTCCACAGGTGAGGCGAAACAACATTTATTAACAAACTGAAGAATAGGGATACGCTAAGTGGTTTATATATGCTAAGTCTTATTTTTATGTAATATGAAATGAATCAATATCAATATTGATCTGGGATAAGTCAAATGACTTTTTTGGCGTGCATGGTAAGCCTGGGAAAAGTGGAGCTAAATGTTGATCTACATGAGGCGCTCCCCGGTATGGCTTATACCATACCAGGTCTGCCTGTTGGAGCTGAGGTGGAGAGGTGTGGAGCTGGCAGACCAGGCTGAGGTTCATCTGTGCTCTTTCGTGCATGGATATGTCATATGTTCAGCATTACATAATACAAACAGAACCAATCATAGTATGAATAGTGCAAGTATAAATGTTGTGAGGGGAAGGGTGCCAGTTGATAACAAAGCCAGGGATCCAGACCTGTTATATCCAAATAGCGGGGCAGAGTGCTTTCGGCCAGGGAGTGTGGAGTGACGGGAGATGACCGGTGACGGGGACGAGTGACTGGCGGACGAGCTTTTCAGGCAATCGCGACAGAGGTGCTGCACAAGCCCCTACTACATATCCCAAGACTGAGCAGAGGACGACCGGTAGAACGACCGGTGCCGGAGGGGTTCAATCAGATTTCTTCACAGAGGAGAAGTGAAGAGAACGTTTATTATCAGACTGAAGAACAGGGATGTAGACTACAAGATTAAATACTGTGAAGCTTATTGTATAGTATAAGGGGTAAGAAGTTGGAACCATGTGGAAATAACAATAGGAGGTGATTCCAAATGGGGTTAGAGTGGCGAACACAATAACAGAGAAGTCTTGAACAATAAGGATGAGGTCCTTTGGCCATAGGCTGAGGACCTGCTGATTGTATGGCACAAGGATGGTGCAATAAGACTCGAGAAGATCCCACAAGTATCTACTGGTCGAGTGACTGGTGACCACTTGGAGGTTTCTAGTCACGTCCTGGGCTTGAACGTGCACAGATATAACAAGACCCCAGACTCTGTAACGGACCTCTAATAGCTGCAAGGCTCACCGTCGTTCAACCAACGGAGGCTACTAAATTTTCTATATCTTTACGGCTTGAGCCGCGCACGCTTACATGATATATGCTTACACAATATGTATCACGTAGACAGTATGCGGGCCGAGTCCCAATATAACACACTTCTACACTTCCTTCGCACCACCACCGGTCCTACGCTTGGCGTCTCTTAACACGCCAGCTCAAGTCCCGGAGCGGTCAAGGTAAGTAGTTGTTCGCCATCTCTTACTGACTCAGTTCCTACACAGCTATTTACACCTCAGCAAAATTTCTCAAGAGGCACGAAGTCTTACTGCACGAGAGTTCTCAAGCGCAGTAAGACTTCAGTGTAGCGGACACCATTCGGATCGCATTGCACGACAACTACCCTTAATCGGACCCCATCGCTCGCCAAAGGCTCCCTCAGGGACTCCCAGCAATAAGTATTTGTAGCCGTACTAGACGGATCCTACAGACTCGAACTATATACTACAAGAGGAGTAAGGAACAATGACACTGGGAGCCCAGTAGGTATGACAAGCAGGCCAGTGACTCAGCTGTGCTCACAGCCTCAGCTGACTCAGCATGCAGGCATGCTGTGATGGGATGACCAAGCACACACAGCTAGGTATCCCCTTACAAATGCGATAGAGAAGGACAAGGAGGGAATATACTATTATCCATCTGCATGTCACATTAACCTGGGTTATTGCCTATATATAAGACAGTGCACTTGTGCTGTATTTCTCTACACTATTCTCTAGAACCTACTCAACTATGTTCTACCTTTTTTTTTTTGTATTGCTCAATCACCTACCTCGTAATCAGCTTGCTAGTAAGGCCCTGTGCTGACAGTATTGTTTCCACCAAAAAGTCCAGGCAGCTCACAAAATAGTAATGGAGCACTTTCAGCCTGGGTACATTTCAGCACATGAATGCACTCACCTCAACATCCTGTTCAGATGACTTTATCATGAGTCCTCTTGCCCTTGGTCATTCAAGTGGTGTAAGAGAGGGATGGTGGTGGCCAGTCACAGGTTTCTAAAGTGTAGCATCTTACATTGGAGTTGCATTTGTGACACTTTGGCCGAGTGGTTAAGGCGATGCCCTGCTATACATTGGCCAAGGCATTGGGGTTTCCCCGCGTGTGTTCGAATCGCACAGGTGTCGTTAGATTTTTGTACCGTGTTTTGTTTAGTCCAATGCCATGCGGTAACTCCCGGTGTCGAGCCAGGAGCTCTAAGAAAAATGTGTATTGGGTCACTGTTATATCCGAGCGGGGGATATGGGGACAATCGACCAGAAGTTTGAGTCCGAGTCAGCACCAGGGTGGAGTTGGAGCAGAGTGATCAGATGAGACTACGTGATGGAGGTGCTGTACAAGCCTTGTCTGCCTAGCTCCAAAGGGACGGATGAAAGCACTTGTCCAAGGTCCATAGCCCGAAGGCAACAGAGATGGAGACAGAGCAACCAGCGGAGTTCAAACACCAACATATAGCCACAAGGAGTGACCAACAGATATACTACTCGACATCCATAGTCCGAAGGCAGCAGAGTTGGAAGTAGCGGAGGACAATGTGCCACCAACGATTGGTCTGCCTGACCTCCGCCCTATGCTCTAACTGTCACAGTCACGCGGCAGAGCGGAGGCGGGAGAGGTATGGAGCAGAGTGTAGGCTGGACTGCTTACTTACACACATCACACGCTGTGATGCTACTTATGCCTCTTGTCTCTTACCACTACCTACCGACTGGCGCTCTCGTATATACTCCGTCCTTATTACTCTGGTCCTGTTCTTTAGTGTTTCTCGCTGGATTGCTGGTGAGCTTCCACAGAGTTAGGGGAGGTCGAGCGGAGGTCATTGGCGTGACTCGAAGCAAGGTCAGGTCCAAAGTATCTGTACATGGATGTACAGAGCTCCGCAAATGCGCAGGGGTTCTGTGACCCCGCTCAGTATCAAAGGACTACGAACGAGTATCTCAAATATTTATCCGAGTTCGAATAAAGGCCGTGGGACCTAGCGGGTCGATGAACTAAAGTGTGATCTGTCTGGATAGACCGATATACAGATCAGGGACGCTCTAATGAACAGTCGAGAGCCCTGACAATCGAGGAGTTCTTCCGCTACGCAGAAGACGCTACGACTCGACAATGAATGGACGACAAAGAGGACTACTCAGTGACCGAATAGCCTCCTTGGAGGATGGATGGTGAGTCTAGGTGCGGAGTGCCTCTTCTGCTAAGCAGGGATATCTGAGTCGAAGGCGCTGGCGACTGGATGAAGGCGTTCAAGCCGAGGAATGGCTTGTTGTGCCTCTTCTGCAGTGCAGGAATGTATCTGAAGTCACCTAAGGCCTGTACTCGCGAATGAAGCCTGTAGGCGAGAGAGCGAGTCAGGCAAGGTGGTGGTAAGAAGTGTAATGATTAGGTACTGGCAAACATCACATGACTACATACTTATGTAATATCTCCATATACTATATAGGAGCATACTTGAGACTGAAGAGGAGACCTGCAGTACTGCCCGGCCACAGGTTCGAGGCGGAGCAGAGCTGTTTATAACACACTCCTTCTTTGTCTTGGTTTTTGCCAGTGCTTCAAATACAGTCCCCAGTTCTGCAAGCACGAGTAACTCCTCTTTGAGTGCCTCCAGCATTTCCTTGTCAAAATCTGACAGCTCAGAGTCAATGAAGTCTGAGTCTTTGTCCTCCGCAGGGTCGTATTCTTCATCTGAGACCTGCACATTGAACCCGCTGTAAGAGCTGCGAAGAATATCTTGCTAATATTTGAGGGCTTTTCTGTCACAGTGAGCTAGCGGGTCTTGTGTATATGTATGTCCTTGCGAAGGTTGAGACTAGAACGCAAGAGCTCTTTGCGTATGAAACAGCGGAGACACCCTGCGTTCAGTCTCGGAAATAACTGAGTCCGATGTCGAACTATAACTTGAATTCCAAATTTCCAGCAAAGCATCATCCAAGCATTTTTTTGGATGTGCAGGAGGTATGTTGAGGATTAGAAGGTGCTGATGAGCCGTGAATATCCCGCAGGATGGAGTTGCAACTGAGGTTGGAGAAGGTGTTTGGATCAGACATGTTCAGCTTTGAAGCCAAACAAATCGGCTTCCGCACAACCTCGCCTCGGCCTGCATCTTGACCTCCTGGGAGCAGCACTTCAACAACGTCACGAATCTCATCCAATCGCTTGAACGCACTCAGTCCCGGCTTGGACTGGTAGTGAGCTGAAAGGATGGCAAACAGAGAATGACCTGCAAATTCAGGACAGATCTGCACCCTCGTATCTTGCCCAAACTTCGGACGTTTGGCTCAAACCAAAGTACGGGTTACATTATTGGAACCTTCTCATGTCGATGAAAAGCAGTTTTGAACCGCGAAACACGAAACGCGGATACGAAAGACATTCTCAACAAGGAGGTCTGTAGGACTCGCCGGATGCGATACAAATATTTATAGCTGGGGAGCGCTGAGGGAGCCGCCAGGCGAGCGAAAGCACGACGCGAAGGAATAAGGGTCCGCGTCCGTCGTCCGAATGGTGTTCCACTACACCGAAGTCTTGTTACGCAACAGATCTCTGGAGCGTGTTATATCCGTGCGGACGGATAAAGGACGATCGACCGGAAGATGATCGGAGTAGCCGGAGTGGGTGCACAGAGCCGGACGATGGTGGAAAGACTACGCGACAGTTGCGCTGCACGAGCCTAGCTGCACGGTGATTCCAAGCGGGACAGGGGGACAAGTCCGGTAGGGTGACGACCGGAAGAGATCGGAGTATCCACGGAGTTCTTCACAGGAGGAAAGGGAAGAAACGTTTATTAACAAACTGAAGAACAGGAAGTAGTTTAGGTGATTAAGTAGTAGGAAGTCTATTGTACTTTGTAAAGGGGATAGTTCGAAGGTGAGGCAGAATAAAACAATAAGAGTTGAGTCCAAAAGGGGTTAGAAGGAAGTAACAATAAGAAAGAAGTTCAAAACGTTGCAATAGAAGTTGAGACCCACTCGCGCCCCGGCCTCGAGGCCCAAGGTGCGATAAGGTGACATAGAGTCCCACGGATGAATACCGGAGTAAGCCGGAGGCCGGGGCAAGACCGGTAGCAACCGGAGTGGTCCGGAGTGGAATCCATGGTCCAAAGTGATCTTCTAGGATGTGGATGTGCATGGATGTAACAGTATCCCCCTCTTAGGTTCGGATCCCCAGACGAACCTATACGGTATCGACCAGATAAACCGGAGTCCGTCGGAGTAGCCTGAATTTGTTGCAGGAGGGTACCGGTCCTTTAAGGACACAGAAATAGGATGCCTAGGAGTGTTGTAGAATTTTCTGATGATTTGATTCTGGCGGGTTGGTCGGCCGAAATTCAAATTCCGACCCAGTGTCGGGGTCTGAACTGAGCACTTTTGCAAGCTCTTTGCACCATTTTGGCTTCTAGGGAGGAAATCAGAGAGCAGTTGGCACGGCTCTAACTTCATCTGTGTGAATTTAGGAATATTAAAGGGCAAGTTGCTGACCTAATGGAAGGTGCCGACGCCCAACACTGCCACTTTCAGACAGCCCTAGGTTCAATCCTCAAAGCGGTCTTTTCTTTTTCCCAACAATAATGTTGTAATTGGCTGACAGAACCTGGTCTTGTGTTAGTAGTGTAACTGATGCCACACAAACCTGACCCTTTTGTGTTTGAGAAAAGGTTCAACCCATAGAAAGCTTGATGAATTCCCACATCTATCCTATAAAGGAAACAAAAATTACCATGTATGGCAGGTTTGTGTATACATCACTTGTTTACTGCTTCTATTTGATTCCAATGACTCCGTAAATTTAGAATTTGCGGACCACGTAAATGAGAAGCAAATGACATGTAAACGAAAAGCATATTTATTATTTACGGTGCCCGTAAATGAGATACAAATGCTAAGCAAATTCTAAATTTGCATATAATTCACTTTCACTTTACAGGGTCCGTAAATGGTGGCTTGTGCCCAGTGTGTGCTTCAAAAACCACGTGAAGTGCAGCCGGACGCCGCTCAGCCGCCAGCCCAACCGCCCGAACCTTCGGAGGATGGCCCGAGAGGCCAGACTTTCGTCGATGGCTGGTCCGGTCGCTTCCGGCTCGCGGTCTCGCAAACGTCGTCAAAGGCCATCTTCGACGAGCCCCGATCCACCGCGCGACGCCAAGCGTCTGAGGCGGTCGAGTCGGGGCGGTCGGGGGCGGCAGGACGTTGCTCCGCACCAGTAGAGGTAGCATTTAGTCTCTTGCATGGCCCCAGCCATAGAAATCATTATCTCTGCCCATGGCGCTAGCCATGGACGGCTGTGGCCATGGATTTAGGCTCTGCAACGGCCTCTCCCGGGCCACTGTCTAGCCATATTGGGTATTCTTGCCGTCTATTGCCCGTATTATACTCCTCAAGCACTCCCAATCGGGAAAATCCTCGGCTAGAATTAAATTTCGTCGGCTACAAGTAATTCGCCAATTGCCGAGTCTCGATTAGGAAGCACATCAAAGTGTGAAAAAGCTATCCAAGTCCGGACCCTCCAAATCCTCTCCTGGCACGCCAGCAATGACGCGGCGCGCTACCGTCACTGCCGGCTTATTCCACGCCGCCAGGAAATGAGCCGCGAGGTTCTCGTACAGCGCCGCCTGCTTCAGCGCATACCCCCTAACCCCCGCCCGCACCGCCACCTCTCCATCCGGTCGCGTTGCGACTTTGCCCTTCCACTCAGCCCTCTCCCACTCCAAGTAGCGCAAGACCCTGCGCATTTCCTCGCGCACCAGCATAACCTCCTCGCACCAACGCAGCTTGCGCGCGTAAGCGCGACACCACTCGACACGCACCGCTGTCGACATCCTATCAGCCTGACACAAGTTATCGGGCACGGCCACTTACAATCATGTAGATGCTCCTCGCCATCGACTGCTCCCCCTTGAGCCGTCCAAATCCAGGACATGATGCGCTTGCTCGTCCCCGGGGCGTTCCTAGGGGCCCGAGCGCCGTGCCCGATCTGCGCAAGCTTCCTCGCCGCTCCCGCGTCACTCTCCGCGTAGTCCCCGTCCAGAACGAGGTCTGCGTCCTTCAGCGGTTGGAACTGTTTTTCCACCGCTGCCCCCTGGACGCGCACCAGCGCCCCATGTCCCTGCCGATACTTCTCCGCACTT